GAGAAGATTGACAGTTTTGCTGGTTCATCACACACGACTACCTAGTAATGTAAGTAATCCCTATAACAATAATGCTTCAATCACGAGTTCACTTTATCACTGCCGTTATAAATAAGTGTTACGCAAGGCCAGGCACTTTGCTGATTGAACCTCTACAAAACCAGCCGAGCTTCGTCGAGATAATTTAAACATTGAGGATGAAACCTAATGATGTAACGTTCGAGCATGCGTGAAAGGCTGGTGATGATATGGGCATTGTAAAGCGCTTGTTTGGTTTTGCTTTTTACCGCTACCATTGCTCCTTCAAGTTCGGGCCATCTTAGCCTACGGCTCTGCAGTTATAATGTGTGATTTGGGTAATTCAGAAGATTCTTGAATTGAGAACATTGTGTGTACAATGTTTGCAAACGATAATTGCTCGCGAAAATGGAGAACGACGTGTTGGTGCCTATAGAAGAAGCTTCTTCGTGTTAGAACAGGCTTTCTTATTCGTACTGCTGTGCAAAGAACCAGCGAAACTATCAATCTGCTCGAAACAGGCAGAGTTATGCCCCTTTCACGTCCAAATATGTTTTACAACTATATTTCTTTGTTTCTAGCGTTAGAATAGCCTTTACAAGATTATTTGTCGCAAATAACTGGGTTTGTGAAATCAATTACGCGGTGTAAAGTGGTGTGACGCGTTCGTGACTCGTTACGTCCGAGGGCTAGAAACCCGCCCGTCTTTTCAACTTTGTACTGTCGTTGGAATTACCGTTGTAAGCGTGATAGTAGGCGTAATAAGCGCATAGAATGTTCAAACCAAGAGAGAATGCGCTCTTTATATTTTCTTCCTCTTTCATTAACCCTAACTCTTTCTATCTACTCACTCAATCGCTACCTCCCTCGCGGCGATTTCTGGTTTTAAGCTCTAGCTCTTCCAAAGCACTTTTAGCGCTCTGTAGAATCGTTGAAGGCTAAATTGTCGTATCCGGTCACTAAACCGATTTCGGTCTGTTATATGTCAAAATGCTCCGCAAGTCGAGCTGATTCAGGATCAGTCGAAAAACTTTTCGGAAACACTTCTGTCCCGAGATATGACAATTTGAAGTTTGACTTCAACCCGTTCCTTATATAACCTGTTCTCGCCCCTAGAAGTCCGTTTTCAGTGCGGAAAAAGATGGATAAGTGCTCGATAAAAGCTTAGCTTTACTCACCACACCAAGTTTGAGCCTAAAAATAAGGCTTCGTGCCACCCGGGGCCTAGTCGCTTCGGATGGGTGCGAGCTCGTACAGGGTTTCGAAATCGGGGCGCCCGAGGCGCGCGTAGCGGCCAGGCGCCCCGATTTCGAAAGAGTGGAGCGGCAGCCCATCCGAAGCGACGGCCCACCTTGCCTGACAATGTTTTTTACCCAAGAAACAGCAATTCCCTACCATTCCGTTCTTTCCGATTTACAGTTGGCGTATATAGGTGTATTGCGTACTACGTCTCGGCCTGTTTTGAGACCTTGTAAGCTACATATCTCACGATAGCGATTTTTCCGAAAAGTTTTTTCAACGGATCTTGGATCAGCTCAGCTTACTGCACATTTTGACATAACAGGCTCCGATTTTTCGCTTAGTGACCGGATACTTCGGTAGCCAACTTTGAAGTGTCATATCCCGAGACAAAAGTGTTTCCGAAAAGTTTTTCAATTGATCCTGAATCAGCTCGACCTGCGCGACATTTTGACATATAAAAATCCGAAATCGGTTTAGTGACCGGATACGACAATTTTCCTCTGTTGAAATTACCGGCGGACCTATGTGCCTTCATAACGCGCCCACATCGACCATAGATGAGATTCAGCTTGGCAGGTTAAATCCGGAAAATATGGTTTAATCGTTTTGGTACTCCGCTAGATGGGTACGCGCTGATGAGCCTGACCCAAAGATTATTCAGGAGGTGGGCATCGCCGCACATGCGACTGCCATTTTAGCTTTTTGAAATCTGAGAGGAACATCGTCGGGAACTGCTTACATGAAATTCTGCCCTTATCACCCGTCGGGTTGAAAACTATAATTGACTCTATACCGATCACAAATCATTCCGCCCACTTTTCTGATCTGTGATGCCATAAACCCTTTTTTCAAACATACGTTTAAAGGTCAATCAGGCTGGAGCCGAACTCCGATGCACGCACACATCCTTGCGCTCACCTGGACAAATCATGGGAAACTATACTTGACGGACACGTAGGAAGGAACACCCCAACTGGACTTACTGAGGGAAACCCCGACGGTTTCTGCTCGCGTTTGGCAATGGCTAAACTACTATTGGCGCCCCTTGCCCTGATCGCGGTTGCATTAGCGAGTAAGGCGTTTACTAAATTCCAACGATTATCTTTCTTTTTCCAGCTTCGACGACTGCCCGGCAAGGTTGGTTATACACAGACACGTTCTTCTTCACCCCCTTTCAGTTCTTTTTGTTCCTAGTTTTTTTGCGTACCCTCTATTTCTTTATTATCTAATTTTTAGTGTATGGCGGCACTTTGCAGCTCCGGACGTAAGTCATTTCGAGACCTTCGAGGACTTTATAGATTTGTTTTTTCAAAAGCAAACCTATTTCAATTATAGTTAGGTTCGTAAAAAATCTAGAAGTTTTCTGCGCTGCCACAAGTGCGAAACAGATGCGGAAACTCTGCGAAATTGCGGGTCTAATAAAAAAATCCACAGCGGCCAGCGGGCCAGCTGGTGATGAGTGGGGTGTTGGTGAATGCAGGCATCTTGATGAGGTATGGCCAATTTGTTAAAGAAATATCTAGCTACTCAGGGCGGTTTCCTGTACGAATGCTTCTGCTCCTTCTGCGTGCCGACACCGACACCTTTTCTTAAGTATACTGCAGCGCCCGTAAGTTGTGCGATACGCTAATCAACGCGCATATATTAATGTTGTATTGTTTTCTTACTGATTTTTTAGAAATATAGAATCTATTGTAAAGTATCGTAAGGAATGTAAAGGGTTTAGACGAAAGCAGCTGCTGATTGCCACAACAAAGGCTGGCGCTACAGCGGCAACAACAAAAGCTGCTGCTGCGACGACGAAAGCTGTCGTGACAGTTAAGGTGGGCTCGTAACCAGAAAAACAAGGTAAAACAATAATACCCATCTTTCAATAATCCTACTAAATTATCTTCTCTGTGCGTAAGGATTATACTTCGGAATCACGTAGCTTGGTGATTTTCGAGATTTTCAGACCCGCGCCAAAGCCGTTGCCACAGCCAAGCGCCGAACTAGCTGCGGCACTGATAATGCTCAGTAAGTTTTGTCAGTTAATGAGGTTGGCCTCTCTATCCATACCTAACACGCTGGCAGGCATTTATTGCGTGGCAGCCAGTGATGATTCTTTCCAGCTGCGCCACGTGGGTCTCGAAGACGGCTTCTGCTCCTCCACCGGATACAAAGCCGCCCAGAAGTTCGAATACTGCCCGAACTATTGTGGACAGTGCAGGGTTACGACCCGGTGGGTGAAGTTTTAGATTTTTAAGCTAACGTAAAACTTGAATCTTTTGCGCATCTTTGCTGCAAATGAAACCCCTCATTCCAGAAAACAACCGCGAAAGTAACCGTCAAGCCCCAGACCAGATAAATAAAAATTAAAGCAACCGTAGAAGACCACGTAACAGCCAACAAGGCGAAGGCTAAAGTGTGCCCCAATGACAGCAATGCAAAGTATTTTACTTTAATATCATATCAATCTTTTCCAGCGCTGCGTGACGTGGCTGCCAGCGGATTTCTGCATCAACCGGGCGCTACACTGCTGCTCAAATCGCCTCCTATTGCTCGACGACCTGCAAGACCTGCTAGCCGATACCGGGCAGCCAATTAATAAATTATACTCAGTGAAAAATACATAGAAAAAGCAAACTGAATAAATAATCAATAATTCATTCAATTCTTGCGCCTGGTCAATTTGGGGCGACATAAATTTTCGATTTTGAAGCGAACATGACCACCCTAATGTTGCGGCTGCAGCGGCGAATAGCGTTTAAAACCCGGTCCGCGTCCCTTCAACGCTTGCCCTGCAAAGGGAAAAAATCCTCAAAATATGACTGCCTTGCGAAGTGGAAGTCGTTTCGAAACTGATCCGGAAGTTTGTAAGTTGAGGACGGGGGAACAAGACGTACAATCAATAGTGGTTTTGGAACCCCAGTTATTATCGAAAAATAGTGTGCTGAAGATCCACCGGAAAGTAGCTTATCAGAAAAACTAAATGGCAAAATGTGGCCGCAGAAAATATCGCATCGTCTCAGAAAAGTTCAAGATGAGAGGTAAGCTTAACCGATGCTCCATAAAATTCATGTATTGCAGCGCTGGGGATCCTAGGAAGAATCCCAATCGAATGTTGACTATCAGAAGATCATATAAATACAAACAGGTACTCTGATCTCAGTTGGATCCGTTGCAACAAGACTTTTATGTGACAACCCCGCGCTGCATCCGCACCCAGAACTTCCACAGCGCTGACCCCGTAGCCTGCTGAAACACGTGTTGAACAGGACGACCCGAAAAATGACTTCGTAAAAGGGACTGGTTAAGCCGTGGCTCCAATTTCCGGCTACATTTTAGCAATGGTTAGGCATCTGTTGTTCAGTGAATATTTCCTCGTCCAGGTCGCTTTGGCAATTTAGGGATTTTGTTCAGATTTGAATAATAAATTTCTTTTAGCTGACGACTTGTCCCGGAAGTAAGGTTTGCTTCCCACTCCAAATATTTTAATTTTGGACTTTTTTTTGTTTATCCTGATGACTAACGTCCATGAGGGAATAAATTTTTCAGATTTCGGAAGCGGCTTGCAGCCACGGACATAGTTACAATATGCCTGCCATGGCGTATGAAGATTCTTTCTCACTCTTTTTATTTTTAGCTGCCGGTGACAAAACCTTGATGGATGTGGTACTAATCTAATCTGCAAAGCATGACTCGATAGAATTACTACCAAAGGCTGATTCGTTTAATTATACCCCCAGGGTTCATCAACTGTACGAGTGCTTCTGCAGTAACTGTGATAACACCACCAACACTTGCAAAGCTACGACAAAAACTGTAGGAACAGCTCAGTTCTCGAAATATCATTCTGATCATTCCCTGAATAACACATTGCTTCTACCCCTACTGGCAGGCCCACCACCACCGGGCAGGCAGCTAGCACTGCGGCAAGTACCACCAGCAAGTACACCAGCGGCTAGTACCACAGCCAGTACTACAGCCAGTCACACCTACGGTCAGTACCCCCGCATGGTCGACTGCCAGCACAACTTGCTACCAGTACCTCCCCTACAGCGACGGAACAGGTATCTAACTACGGATTATCGCCAAACTCGCCCTCCGTTTTCAGACAACTGCTAATGCAGCTAGCAGCAGTATCGGGCTGTGGAACGGATGATGCAAATTAAGCACTAATCATGTTTCGGATTTGAGTATTTTAGTTGCGCTGTCTGGGTATCGAATGGTTTCTGCACCTCACCCGGGTACACAGCCGCCCTTAAGCAGCAGCAATACTGCTTGAATTACTGCGGCCAATGTGGCGCGACAGCGGTAAGGGGAGGATCGTTTTCAGCTAGCCATGAAAGGCAACAACGCCATATTCTACCTATTAAATGGCTTTTTCTCGATATGAACCCTTTAGGTTGCGAATTTGGTACAGCCTAGTACGTACTGCGACTAAAGCTGCAACTAAGGTACCGGAATACAAGACTAGTCATCTGGTTTGTAGACAGCCGCCACCACTGCCACCACGGCTACAACTAAAAGCTAGCTGCAGGACGGATGATGTTAAGTAAGTTGTGTGTAATGTCCTCCCACCGAACCGAAAATAATCAAAATGCGTCTTCAGTTGCGCAACATGGGTAGCGAACGGCTTCTGCACGTCATCCGGGTACACAGCCGCTCAGCGTCAACAGTATTGCTTGAATTGCTGCGGTCAATGTGGAGCGACGACGGTAAGCTTGATTACTTCATTGAATTTCAAAAAAACAAGAATTGGATCTAATTGCACTCGATCGTGCCTTTTCCTCGTTTCAGACCGTAGCCTCCCACGAAAACAACCGCTGCCGCAACTACCAAGACCACCACCAGAGGTTTCCACAAAGAAACGTGCCCGGCCCGATGCTGGTGGCAAATAAGTAGCTTTTCTATACCCTATGCTAGCTGAGATATAGCGGTAAATTAATCATTTCTTTCCAGCTGTGCGAGCTGGGCGGCCAGCGGCTTTTGCACCAACTCGGCATACACCCAGGCCCAGATCGCCTCGTATTGCTCTACGACATGCAATATCTGCTAACCGGGATCATGCATTTCCAATAATAAATCATGTAAATTGGATAAGGTATAGGACACAACCTTATTTCCGAAAACACCGCGCTCAAACAAAATATAGCTCGAATACAGAAGGAATTAAATTAAATGCAGTGGGATGCAATTTTTAACTTTCTATCCTACTATATATGAAAAATAGTGTTTGTGTGTGCCACTTTGCATACAACTTCCGTCTAAGGGTATCTGTAGGATATCTCGATGGGGATGAATGTTAAGGTATGTATGAGTGTCTAACTTCAGCTGGACTAGCTGGCCTGGGTGCGTAATGGCCTGGAGGTGTTTGCACTCCACATCATGATTTATCAAGTTACTTATTTTCGTTATTAAAGTTCAGGGTTTTGTTAAAATCCAGAGCGGCCTTCTTTGTTAAGGGAAAAATTGGCATGTATAGAAAATTAGATAGCTACCATTGTACAATCACAAATTCCAGATCCCCAAAAACTTATGTTTCAATTCCAGTGGTGTGGGCTTTAGCTGGACTAGCTGATATAGATGTCCAGCATGCTTCAAATGTTGAGTGTATTTGGTAGATTGGTAGACCCTAAGGTCCAGGATAAGTTCAAAACAAGGTAATTGTGGGCAAAGAAATCTGAGTTAGACTACTTCATGGTTGCTCTGCCAGTTCCAACCTTTAACCTCCGATCAATGCTCCATTGCAACAGGCTTTCAGTGTATGTACAGCCTCCAGCCATAGCTGCACCCCCCAATGACCATTGGATGACCCTCAGAACGGCTGCCCAAACACGTGTTGAACTGGACGGCCCGAAAAATGGGCTCGGAAAAAGGAACATAGATTTAAGCCGGCGGTCCCGAATTTCCGGCTACATTTTTGTAATGGTTAGGCAGCTACTGGTGGTGCTTTCTGTGATTCAGGTTGCTTTGGCAAGTAAGCGATGTTTCGAAGATATAGTTAATCCATTTAACTGTTTTTAGCCATTGACTGCACGGAAATGATCACACATTGCATTTCCGATTTTTTGTTGGCTTCCTTGCATTTATTGTTTTAATCAGTTTGTTTGACACGATACATTAAAGAGTGCGCTCACTCCATTAAAAACGTTTTTTCAGATTTCGGAAGCGGTTGCAGCCAAAGTTGTAGGCCATATTTCGATCTGATAAGCCCTTAGTTTTCAGCCGCCGGCGGTGCCAATGCGAATCAAATGTGCTGCCGGCCAGTGCAAATAATTGGATAGGGTTTGTGGGTATCATTTGTATTTACCCCATTTTCCATCCAGGGCAGCATCATGTACGAATGTTATCAAATCACACTACAACAGCATGTAAATGCCTATGCTTCACTAAAACAAAGGCGTGCTGAAACACGCAAAGCTCTCCACTCGTTATTATGAACAACCATCAAAGCCACCACCACCAAAGCTACGACTATAAGCTAGACCAGAAATGCACTACTGGGAACGGGGCCTTCAGCACGACAGAGAGCACAACCGAGCACGACGGAGGTACAGCAGTAGCACAGCGATGCGACAGTTTCCCGACTGCTACTTTAACAGCGGAAGTACGACGGTGAGCACAACTGTGACCCCTGCGGCGAGTACGACAGTTAGCCGCCACTGTTAGCACGACCGTATCTGGCGACTGCTAGTGCGACTGCTAGTACGACCGCTAGTATACGGTCAGTACGACAGTTAGCACAACAGCCAGCGGCAAAGCCAGCGCGACAAAAATGGCGATAGCAGTACGACTGGTAGTACAACCGCCATTACCACGTGGGAGTCAGACGAGTTGGCGCCCTTACCAGTACAACTGCTAGCACTACCGCTGCCTTTGCAGCTAATGCCACAACGGTTACAGGAGCTACCACGAAGGTACTAGGACTTGAACGCGCTGTAAATTTTCTATCAATTCCAGGCAGCAGCTTGTATTGCTCTAACGACTGCAGCGACGGCTCGTTGTGAGCGGATAGTCAAAAATGAGTTTATCCTCATTTTGACCGCCATCCTGCGACCAGGGATGGCTTTATCATAGCTGCATCACGTGGGAATTGCGATTCTCAGCGTTCAGCTGCGCAGTCTGGGTATCCACGACTGTGCACCTCATCAGGATACACTGCCGCGCAGCATTCTTCTTCTGCCCGAACTATTGTGGCCAATGTGGCGCAACTTCAGTAAGCCAGCTAAAGGCGGGCTCCAGAACCCCCATCCTACGTTACAGACGCCAAGAAAAACTACTGGCCGCTGCAATAAAGCATCAATGCTGTTCTACTGATACCACGGCCGAAGGCAACAGCTGCCCCAGCTGCGACCACCCCGATGAAGAGAAGCCCCAGCTGGAGAACTGATGATCCTCTTTTGGTGTTTTGCTTCCTGACTTCGTGCTGCTACACTGACCATAACGCGAAAATCCACAACGCTTTCAGTTGTTCCACTTGGGGTAGCCAGCAAAAAATACGCTTCGTCCGGTTACACAGCTGCCTAGCGAAAGCAATACTGCTTGAACCACTGAAATCAATGTGTATGGCGATCGACGACGGTGAGGCGTTTATGAAAGGGATCTAAACAGCTCCATCATTAAACCAAGCATGAAAATGATTATCAATTCAAAACTTTCATAATGCCGTAGAAGACTGCGAATTTTAGACGTCAAAACCCACTACCGTCGTGACTACCAAGACCACTACCAAATCCCGTCACAACCACCGTCAAGGCGACGACAACAACACTCAAGCCCACGACTGCCAAGAGACGACACTTAAGACTACGACAAAGAAGAAATAATACTAAAAATATAACATTGTGAATTGAACGGCGCAACAACTGATAAAAAGCTACATGTTTGACGTTTTGGCACAAAAAAGAAATAATACAAAGTCATCCTCGGAAGATCCGCTTGAATCTTATTCTTGGAAGCTAAGCGAGACCTGTGGCTCTTTCGACTAAAATTTGGGGTAATGGCTCATCGTTCTGCAAGATATAGTTTTGATTAAGTGTCGTGTTTATAGTTTGTGATTCTGCGACTCCATGCCAATGACTCCCTAAGAAAAATCCCTGTGTGAGCAGGCCGAAGTCGTAAGCTCTTCGAATCGGCACTAAACTCCCCTCATTCTGGTTTTTCGGTACGGTTTAGCGAATTCGAGAACGCTGAAGCGGCGACGCTTCCGTTGATTTTACTGAATCCCAAATCTAGAATGAGAAAGCCCTGCCC